CTATTTTCTTAACCAAATACAGTAGATGCTCGTCATGCAAAAAGTAGAATCGATGTTTTTCGTAGTGCCAGTTAAAAACTATATGTACTTACAATGAAGTATCTGGTATACTCGCCGATCGTAAAGGCGCATTTTGTGTATGTGTGTGGAATTGTTGAACGACACAAGGATGTTATTTTTACAAAAAAAATTAATCGAGTCAAAAAGAGTCAGAGTGTGCACTGATTATATCAGCTTCATCATGATTAATCTCATATGTTATTTCGCTAGTTAACCTCGATCGAGAACACGTTGAACGTTCTAATAGTACAATTAAATGGCACACAACTCTCTATATATATCTTAATTTACAAGCACACATATAAATATATGTACATGCAAGAACGAAATTGAATTGTTAGTCCTTCTTTCCGAAAGGCTAATTCGATCGTGAACACAGAGAATCACTTTCATTTGAATTATTTGATAAGTATCAATAGATCTGATTGTTGGACACTGTGTAGTGCTGCGATTGAGTAAAAAATGTTCGATATTTACATGTGATATTTATGAAACTATGTTCTATTTTTGAGATGAAAGTATCTTTGACGAATGCATACACATAACATCAATTAAGAACATGGTTAAGGATTTAGGATCAACATAAAAGAACTACTTATGATTTATAGTAAGAGACAACTCACACCAATTTTATTTGCAAAACGAGCAAGAAGAGAAAAAGCGTTGATTTTTGTGTCATATTTCAAAGTTCTCCATAGAATACAGAAATGATGTTGAAATTAACCTTGTCTCGATGTGACCCATTTATACCAGATCGACTGTTACCTTGACCATTGGCTCTCCCCTAAATATAATAAATGATTCAAACTCCCAATATAACAAAAATTTCTATTCAAACGCATACCCATAAAAAGTGTGCTGAACTTTGAAATACAATGCATTCATTATTTTGTTGGAATTAGTAGGCTACTGTATGTGTTTTTTCCTATTATATTGAGTTTGATCATACCTGTTCTTGAATTACAATAGGTTAATTTCTAAGGTTCTTTCATTTCCTTTTCACATACATATGACTTGAACAATGCACATACTTCCATAAACAGATTTTGTTAATCGAATCGTTCTTTCATTTGTTTCTCTGTATTGTTTTGTGAAAAAAGTTTAGAAATGTATATTAGATGTAAATAATCTCGCCTATATATTTATAAATTAATGTTGCTCATAAACGCGTCTGTGGTTTGTGTTGAACCAAAATTTGGATAATTGTTCTTATACCACAGGTAACAGATGCGATCGTAACTCATAAAATATTATATTGATTGATATCGCTTGTACATTGCTTCTACAGAGCTTATTGTATTTAAAAGTTGGACTGAGTTTTCCTGTTCGACATTCGAGAATTCCTCATCATGGCGAAATAAAACGAATGTTACGGCCGTAGTTTTTAAATAAGTGATACAACTGTATATCTCTTTATAAAAGGTATACAGCAGAGCTTTGCCTCAGATGACGCAGTTTAAAGGATACTAAGTTTTGAACTTGTATTGCCTGGCATCCAAACAGAAAGATGGGCCTGTGCGAAAGATAGATCACTGAATTTTCTTTCTGGCCATCAGACTGTGAATAAAACTCTCAATCGAATGGGATTTCCATCGATTGTCTCCTCTGTCCATCTGGAGCTAAACTTTCAATAGAGTAACTTACCAAACTGACATGAAAGTGATGAAGATTATGTTCCCAGTGAACACTTTTTCGATTCACTCAGAGCTATAGTTTGGATAAAATCAGAAAAGAGTCACGATAAATGGCAGAATGGAGCCCGTTTATATAAAAGTGTATAAAAACTGCAGAAAAGAGCCCGGAAACGTGTACTGCTTGACTACCCATATAACAATTCCTAATCTAAACAACGCATTTACAAACGGTGTTCATAAACGCAATCCAAACGCATTTATATAACTGCTTATCAGTTACTGGAGACTCAAATAGTGCTCATGTCTCAAAGAATCAAAAGAAGATAGTCCGATCGGTTTCGACCTTTCTCAAGGCTCTCATCAGGTGGTTTCCTTCGAGAAAGACAGAGTGAAAGCACGACAGCAACACAATTCCGTCCACACCGTATGAGGCTGTTACTATTCCCTGTTCTAATCGAGCAAAGAACGATAACTTTCATATGACGAGAATGGAGCACGATATCACTGGTCACCGCACATATTCTGGTTCTCTCCATTAAGTATTTCCTTTCATTCTATCAGAAATGAGTCATCCTTTAAAATAAACTGCATCTGGTAGCTTTCACTCAACAACAGTTGAGACAAATGTGAAAAGCGCCACACTTATGATGCTATTTTCGATTCGAGTGGGCACCCATCCTATTACTAATCGTACTATACATGATAATGTTCATTTAATAAGATCAATCACTGAGTATTACTCAAGGAACCTTTCTGACTGTAATTACGGAATTCTATACTAATTTGTATAGCGAAAAACCGGTTGAAAGCGAAATGTGAGATGGGCTTTTGGCCGGATTACCGACACTTATGCCTCAAAATACAAATAAACTCGAAACGGAAATCACCATTACCGCAAATCGACTTTTTATAAGGAGGTTTTCAAGGCTCGACTTAATGTTTTTCCAGATCAGAATCCTTCAAAAACGTTGGGTACCCTAAGGGCGTCTTCTTCAAATTAAGAATAAAAAAGTAAAATTTTCCCTTGTAATTTCTATGGCCGCGAAAAATCATGATTAGCCCTCGAATTTAGGCAATGAAAAGATAGATAGGAAAAATGTTCACTTTTTTATTCTTAATTTGAATAAGTGACATGGAAAGATCACCGGTTCCACTCATCTTTCCTGCGTTCTATGTTAACTCTTTTAAAAAAAGCAGTATCTGTTGAAGGCTCAATGAGAGGTTTCCGTCCTCTATTATTGATGAACATCGATTACAAAATACTCTCGAAGATGATCAGTAACCGACTACGAGCAGTAATAAGCACCATCATTCATCCAGATCAAGCATGCTCACGAAAAAGAAGTTGAGATTTGGACAAAATTTCATCCACTGGATTAGATTAATCATTAATAAACACCGGAGCCATATTCCGAATCAAAATAAATGATTCAATTACACAACCGATTAGTTTTAAGTCCGGAGTGCGTCAGAGTTGCTCGCCATATTAAAAATATTTCATGCTTATAAAAATACTATACAAGTCATGTGGGAGTTGAAGAAGCGCACATTGATATCTAGTCATTCATTGTTATATACACGTATCAACTACAACATGTTACAAAACGCATGGAAAATTTAAAATTTATTCATGGTCATATCATGGAAATCGCCTAAGTTTTCCCGATTTGGAATCAAAACGGCGTTGTGTTTCCAACAAGCCAAAAAAATCGTGCGATTAAGCGCACAATTATTCGGCTTTTTTTTTGCTTGTTGCTATGGAAACACAGCAAAAAGAGCGCGATTCATCGGCAAAACTTAGGCGATTTTTATGACATGGGTGTACAAGTGAGAATGTTCTGAATGTTCTACAAAAAGTAATAATAATTTTAAACACATGAAGAGCGCAGGAAACAGTTTTTTGAACTGGATCAGGGACCAATTTCTTTAAAAAAGTTCAGTCAAAAATTGAACTTAAGTCAAAAAAAGAAAAACAACCTTTTTGACTTAAACTTTTTTAAGAAACTGGCCCCAGAACTCAGGAGCCCGTATCACAAAAAAGCTTAAATCTTACTTAAGATAAAATTTTGACTTAAGTCTTCGTTATGTGCACTTACATGCTAATTTTATACACTTAAGTCTGACTTAAGTCTAGATTTTGACTTAAGTTTCTTCGTGATACGACCCCCTGAAGCAGTTTTATAAAAAAAACTTAACATAAGTCAAAAAAGACAAAGAGCTTTTTTAACTTAAGCTTTTTTATAAAACTAGCTCCTGCTCCTAATTTTGCGAGTAAAATAAAATTGTTATTTGTCATTTTCGTGAACTTCTGAATTGAATGATATATGACTCAACGATATTATGTAAAAAATCCGTCGAATCTGGTTGTGAATAGCTCATGTACAAACTGATTTACTGGGATACAAAGGTAACTCTTTTGCCTTTGGTACACGAATATTCTGTTTGAACTTGTAGCCCAAAAAGGTGCAAAATTTTCTTCTATGAGAAATGAGGCTTTTTTCTTTTATGAGGATGCCACTGTAACTCATCTTATCATATTTTCATGGTTTGACATCGAAAACGATATAGTCGCACTAACTGAAAGTGACATCTTCTTAATATTTGGAAAGGTTCTGTTTTTCAAAGCCGAAATAAATCAGGTGCTCAAAGTCAGATGCAACAAAGTTTCTCACTCTTTCGTAACGTAACGCTGTATTCTTCTATAGTTTCATGAAAATTAGACGTAATGTTTGTCGTGGATGTGATTGGCGAAATTTTAGATGCTGGGTAGCTGGTCTTGGCTCTGCATATAAATGCACGGATAAATATTATTATAAAGATAGCTTAAAGGGATTGTGACTTTTTTCACGGACTGACTGATCGTACTTATCTCGTTTCATTGGTCGATTCATGTTTTCGACCAATGAAATGGGGTCAGTGAAAAAAGTCACAACCTTGAAAGGAGGTCATCTGATAAACGGAATCCTGTATAAACCGTTTCATAAATGTATAACAGGACTATTTGCACTAATCTCATCAAATTTAGATCTTAATGTCTCATTGAAACGTTTAGTTCGCAACAGTTTGAGGAGATAAAAACAGCTAACTGTTTATGCTCAGTTAGTAGACAAAGTATGAATAACACAAACCCATAACTATTAAATTACCGAAATCACTATCTATCAGTTCTTCTTGAGGCATCTGTTACACGCTGTTTTTGTGTAATTTATCATGGATGCATTTTAGATAGAATTTAATTTTATTCAATCATGAATGTTCAACTCGATTTTTCTCGTGATCACGAACATCTTCCATTACTGAATTCTGATGCAAATCATATTTTGTCCGTCTCCGTCTCCAGAGGGTGTATGTATTTGGAATTCTTTTTATTTTAATCTTTAATGAATATCATAAATTTTTTTTCTAGCATTAAGCTGGTTTATGGCTGCAGGTTTGATTATCAATGCTGCAATGGGTGCTGGTCTGTTGAACATTGCAAAAGCGTTTGACGAGGCGGGTGGCATACTTATTTCGTCAGTACTGCATGTGGTAAAAATGTTCTCATTTTTTATACCTTTGGCTACAATTGTAAATCCTCGCTAACCTAGGTTGTTATTATTTTGGTTATTGGTGCTTATGCGATATTGTTTGCTTGTTGCGATCAATCAACATCGAGCTATGAGACATTCGTGTTGTTGAAATGTGGACAAACTTGGCAACGAATATGTTCTGTTTGCATTATTTTATACATGTAAGAACAATCAAATAGCGAAAATAAAAGATTTTATCTCGAATTTTTCTCATAGGTATGGTTTATCAATAACATTTTTTATTATTATTGGCGATCAGCTCGATCGCTGTGAGTGAGTAGTTTTTTGTTATCAAAATGTAGTAGTTTATTATAAAATCAAAACGTCTGTTCCAACTGTACCTTTTTCTCTGCCTTTTAATAACCTTTTCTTTTAGGTTTTTATTTTGCTTTTGGACAAACGTTTTGTCGTCATTGGTACTTTGATCGACGATTTACTATTCCAATAACGTCGTTACTAATAATATTTCCATTATCATTCTCAAAATCAATGAAATTTCTGCAAATTCCAAGGTATCAACGAAAAAAAACAAGACGTCAAACTATAAATCACATGTATATTATTTTTCTTCGATAGTATGCTTGGGGTATTAGCTATAATCTATGTTGTTATTATGGTGCCAGTCGAATATTTCACTACTCACCAACCAGCTGATATCATTATAAAACACAGGTAAAAAGGAAGCTTTTTTGGCGTTTTATAAGGAAGCAACGACTGAACCTTTTGATTTCTTTTGAAAAAATAACACTGACACTAAGTTTCCTATCGGAGGATCGAAAATTGCATGGATTTATATTTTTTTTTACTTATTTTTCATTTTTAGTCCAGAATCGTGGACAGATGTTTTCCTCGTGTTGCCGACGATGTGTTTTTGCTATCAGGTAAAATTATAGAAGACGTTGAAGTGTCGAAATCAAATCTAAATTTTTTCTTTTAGGCCCATGTGAATTCAGTACCAGTATTTGTTTCCTTAAAAAATCGTGCCGATTGTATAAAAGCAACATTGGCGTCAATGCTAGTACTCATTATCAGCTATTCATTAGTTGCTATCACTGGATATCTAACATTTGGAACAAAGGTTAATCATGATATATTAGTAAGTTCTAATTAAAGCAACAATTTTTACCACTGTACATAACATACGGTCTTTATTTCAGATGTCTTATCCGCATTCTGTTGCTGTTCTGATCGCTATTCTCATGATTGCATTGAAGACCTATGTGGCTTATCCTGTTAACTTATTTTGTGGACGGTGATAATATTCTCCTTTGACATTAAAAGGCTGATTTATATTTGCGTTTTTTATGTTTTAGAACGGCAATTGAATCATTATCACCTGAGTCCATATCAATAGGCCCTAGTCGTGTACAAAAACGTCGAATAGTAGTTGTCAGTCTATGGTTCTTTTCAACACTGGTTACCGCTATCTTTTTACCAAATATCAGTGTTGCGATCCACTATTTAGGAGCTTTAGCAGCAAGTTTCATTTTCATATTTCCAGGTACAAACAAAATTTTCTAATGCATTCTTGCCCTGTATCCCAAAGTAAAGATATTTTGGTAGATGAAGCAGATATTTTGCGGACTTGTCCTATATTCATTCTATCACTCGTTTTTATCTGATCTAATAACCACTATTCATTAAACTATTACGCGATTTTTAGGTTTATGTTTATATTTTCACATTACACAAAACTTGTTCTACTCAAAGAAAGATATTCTACTTATAGCAACAGCAATCTTTTACGTGGCAGTCGGTGTCTTTGTCATGGCTATTACATTAGTACAGTCACTAATGTCTGATATCAAAGGTGTGAAAAGTGATACAGCTAACCTCTGCTGATTGTATATTACCCAAAAGCAATCATTTCTAGTGCAATATATACAATGTTTTAAATTTAAACGCTCTTATACATCTTTCTGTAACCAAGCCACCATTTTCATTCCCATTTTCTTGCAAATATTTTCACTTTGTTTTTGATATTTTCATATCCATAATTCATTGATACTGGTTATCTCTATTCCGATTTATTTAATGTAGAACTAAAGTTTATTTTTCTAATATTTATTCCTGTTTAAGTACGATATTGTTTTCTTTGCCATTTTGCCGATCAATTTAGAGTTTTACGAAAATGGCATGTAAAATGCATGCGCTAGATTAGTGGATGAATAAATTGACCTATAACGGAAGCAACCGTTCTTTTGGTGCTAATTTATGAGTTCTATTTCTGATTTTTTTGATCGCGTGACTCATTCTATTTTCTAATGATACTTATGTTTTTCATTCATGTTTATTGTATTTGTTGCTTTGTTATATTTTTGTAATATATATATATTTATACATTTTCACGATATATAATTTTTTGAATTCGAAAATATGAGAAGTCTGTACGATGTTTTTGATAACTCCGCACGAAGATGATGATGAAGTGTTGAAGTGCTTTCTTCGAAAAATAACATCATTTGTGTCATCATGATCGCACAAAATACTACCTAAGTGAGAGATGAGTGTTCTTTGAGCCTGTATGTCCTGCACATGTTCTGTCGTTTGTTTCATGAAATATTAGTGAAAATATCAAATATGACTGTTTTTCAAGGACGATTCTGTAACATGTCAAATGCTGGCATGGTATTCGCACCGTTGTGTTGCATATCCGAGTTATTATGTTCAAATTTGCTCACACAACTTTCTCTCTGAAGACGACGTGATGGCAAGCTTTCTGGTTTGCATTTTGATGTAGCATAAACTAATGTACCGTTTGTTTTCAGATATTTTCTATTCAAATTATGTTCGGATAATGCGTTCGTTATAAGAATCTTGTAGTCGTTTTCGACTCTCCGTTGTTGTTGTTGTTGATCGTGTGCTCAATCGTAAACGATTGTCACAGCAATATTTGGTTTTAGCGGAGTCGACAAATAATGACTTGGAGCGTTGCTTGCCGCAAATTGTCGTGTTGGCAACAAGTGATCTACTACGGTTTTTTGATATGTGGTGATATTGAATATGGTCAGAAGTAGTCTGATCTGCGCAAAGAAAAGAAAAGTATTCTACTAAGTAGACAATTGAATAGCGATATAGAAAGATGTTGGTAGATGTCTTCATGTGAGAACAAAAATTAGCAAAAGACTGTAGCTTTATGTGACCGGTGCGTTCAATGTGATGATCAGAATAACAGTAGTACAGTACTGAAGTGTGAGTCATTCAGCTGAGAAAATTACTTAGTTTGAGTTGTTGATTTCGACAGTGATGACATTCGCTATGTCTCTTTGTAGGCATTCCCTAGAAAGAGGAAAGATATTTAGTTGAACGAAGTAGCTGACATGCTTCCATTTTTATTTCGTTTGGCGTTATAAGACTTTTTTCTTTTAAATACGAAGATTAGAAGTGACATAAGTTAGTTTTATACTCTTCTCTGTAACTTGCGCTAACATTGCTGATTATCCTAACGAAAGGGTCAGGTCGCTTTTGATTGACATGAGAAATGGTAGAGGATGCTCAAGTGGAATGACTTACTTGTAAAAGTAATAGTTGTTGATGATGTTGTAGTTGATAATGAGAATAAGGTGACGTTCTGCTGACTGATGGTCGTTGAGACTGTGATCGATAATTGAATAACGATATCGAATGAAAACATAAACAAAATCTAGCACATAATTCGCGTCGAAATTTTCGGTTTAAAAATGCGTAAACAAAAAAGTTAATTGCGCTATTCAGAAAGATGAAAAGATTTGAAATATCGTAGAGTTTATAGAGTAGTTTGTTATTTTGAGCAAATATGTAGATATAATGTAATATTGACGCAGGTACTTGGCATACCAAGAAAATACCAATTAGAACAATGACTGAACGCGTGACAGTTGACTCTCTATGGTGTTTTATATCACCATCGCGCGTTTGTCGTATGCAGTTCAATGTTGTAGGACGTTGTGAATCTTTCACTGATCGAATTAATTTAACGTTAAAATAGAACAACAATAATAATGGTAAAATACTTTGAAATAAACTGTACAACGCAATGTGTACACTGTAGTGGTAAGCGCTACTGTTCGAAAACTTATTCATTAGTATATAATGTTCAATCACTTCACTGCTATTTTCAATCTCAATTAGCACTTCTTTTCTTGATTGGACTTTATATTCGAAAAATCTTGGTATTGAGTAAAGTAATCCGAATAAATAAATAGACACGATGATGTAACTAAAAGAAGTAAATAAATTAAGATATTAATGACTTTAAGAGATCTTTCACATTTACCATGGACGTTTTGAGCTATAGGTATAATGGACAATTGGCCATCGTATCGCAAACCAGCGATCCACGGCAAACTGAAGATAGAAGAACATCAGACATTTTCCACATTCTATTACCACCTACTCACTGCAATTGTAATCCATACACTTGTTATTTGAAACCAAATAATCAACGGATATAAATAAGGAAATGCTAGTTTATATATCCGTGATGAATAATATGTTTCATTTTGCACGTCAGGTTTTATTGTTGAATTTAACGCGATAACAAAGCCAAAAAATAACAAAAAACTATCACTTAAACTCAAACCGGTTAAGTATGTTGAGACGGCACTACGCTAAAACGTAACGTATACAGAAGTAAGAAGAATGTTCAACTTGAGATTAAATTGTATTTTGCAAGTGAATGCTGTTCTCATATAGCAAATCTGTTTGCTTGCTAACTCGAGTATTTATTTCTTATCGTCCAAAAAATTATTAGAGTTTCTGCTGAACTCGCAGACAATCTAGTGAGCTGCACGAACCGCTTCGAATTTGGCAAAAGAATTCGTGACTTTACTTACCATTTGACGTCGAGTGAATACGTAGACAGAGCATAATGTCAATAGCAGCCCTAGTGAACAAACGGTTGTGCCTCCATAGCCAAATACATAATGGGTAAATAGCATAAGGGACATCATTTGTTCGTGTAATTATTACGATTCACCAACGTTGGATCCTTTTAAATGAACAAAATAATCTTAACAGCGCTTGGTAGACAGAACTATTCTCAAAGGAAATCTCTCGTTAACGAGATTTTGTGCGAAGAAGTGTTCGTGTAACAACTACCATTCTGACGAAGGTTCTAGCAAAGGTACCAATTAAAAGAGAGACAACATCATCATGCAATAAATCTAGCCACAATAACCCACTACCAAAAATAAAGGAGCGTTGATGATATTTTCTCGTAGCGCATGTGACCGTTGACTATCTGAGAAGATTAGCACAAAGCAACAACACTGATCTCAATGGCAGATTCATAAAATGTATAACTTTGTGCTCGTTATTAGAAGAGTTTTGAATAATTTTATGTAAAAGCAAAGTCGATATGGATAGCCTCGCTTTAAATTCACAGATAACCTTTTCCACATATTATGATGCAGATGTTTTACGTGTCCGAGTATTTAATCGTGTTTGATGAATGCGGTAAAAGAATTAAGTAGCTTAGCATATCTGTACAAAGATTGCTTTTTGTTTTAAAATAAAAATGTATTGAAAATCGTGAGTATGGTTCAATGAGGCAATATTTCAAGTATAGAAAGTCAGTATTAAATGTCCTCTTCTCTCTCGTTTTATACTCAAAAGGATTTCTTTTGTTCTTCTTATCTAGTATTCAGTTCGAGATGAGATGTTTTTTTAGTGGTAGGAGATGAAGAAGAAATAGGCAAAGTTCAGACGCGAATCGACGTGGTTTACCAATTGGAGTTTAAAACAATTGTAATTAACGTAAAAATAGAGCACACTGTTAAAAATGTATGTTCTTCAGAAAAGAAAAGAAATGATCTTCGTTTGTCCAAAATAGAGGTCACGTATGTGTTTTCTGAAAAGTAGCAAAATAAAATTCTTCAAAACCTGAAGAACAAAAATTTCGTCTATCCTCTAAATTTTTCTCTAAAGAACATGTTTTTTGGGAACTTCTGAAAAATTGAAGAACAAGTTTTTGTTCTTCAACGGTAGCGCTACTTTTAGTAAAGGAATGGACAACTTAGAAGGTCTTCTACTTTGTCCTATCGTTCACAAATTTTAGGGGAGTCCTCTATTGTGTCCTGTAGAGAAGTCATATTTTTCGCTTTCCTCAACAATAAAATACGCAGTTCTAAACCGGAGTATTTTTCTTTACACAATACAGTAAATTACACACAAACATCTGTTAATTTCACTCTTGTTAGACAACAAAAAAAGAGAAAATATGTTCACTTATTTCGCCACATATCTTTCGGAAAATATTTTAAAGAGAACGTAATTAGGTTGAAAAGAGAATGTGTCTGATTTTTTGGAGAACGCAATGTTTTCTAGGTAGAAAAGAGAAATGAAGAGCTCGTATTTTGAGGAACACAGAAACCGGCTGAAATACAAAAAGAGCTGAAGAACATACATTTTGTTCTTCATTTTCCAGAGAACACATTTAAGTTTTTCAGCGTAGTCTCGAAAAAACAAAGAACAGTGTAGATTTGAGTTGAAAACAGACAGCGAAAAGGCAGATAGACAGAATGATATCAACGAACAGTCGAGATAAACTTCATTCGACTTTTTTCCTCATTTGAAAACGTGCAGTGACGGCGAGCCAAATTCATGCAGAAGAACGGAAACTAAATATAAGGTTCTTTTATATCCTCAAAAACTCGGAATGTGATAAACTCGTCAAGCTTTAGACTTCATTTATTCTAGCCAAATATACTTGTAGTCTTTTGTCGCGCTATCACAATGTAATGAGAAGAAAGCTGAGTCTCGAGAACAAGTGTGACTTTGATGAGCACTTACCAGTCCTGATTCAATATTTTTATGTGGAATCCTTGAATGTTGTGCGTCGTAGATAGCTCTTTATAAAGCTTTATTTGAAAAACAAACCATGCAGAAAAGAATATATCTACCTCAGCGTCTAATAAATGTCTGTTATAGAAAATTCGTGGTTGAGGTCTGTAATACAATCCATTAATAGTACGCAATTACTTTGATAGTGAATAGTAATTTGTAGAAGTCTGTTGTTTTGAAATAACCCGTACGTAAGTAATCATTACGTGAAAAGGGAAGTATAATCATCCTTACATTTTGAAAGGCCTTAACAATGTTCTCAAACCATCCCATTTAATTCTTGATGGTACAGGTATCTTACGTTCTTTAGCTATCACTAACAAACCTTTACTTTTGCCTTTATTAATTCTGACTTTGTTTTGTACTTTTATCATCAACATACTCAATGATATCAACAGGACATTTCGTCCCCAAATATTTTTTCCCAAATCATTTCGACTATATTCTTTTGCTGAATGAGTTCAATCGTAATTCCTCGGTTTTTAGCAAAACTGTTTTCAAGAGACCTCTTAGAAAATCCGTGGAGATCTCCTGAATATTTCCAATGAATTCTCCATAGTTTCTTACCTATATGAGGACTATAAAACTATAGTTGAATCAAAACTTTTTATTTTAATAAAAAATGACTTGCCCATTTATGCTTATTGTCAAAGAAGGCGTTATGTCTCAGCAAGGAAATTAAAACTAGAAAAACGGATGCTTTAGTTTTTTTAGTGGGCTTCAGTCGATTTTCGTATAGAATAAAAATGAAATATTTTTAAAATTATCTTATCTAATTACTTTCTTTCCTCTGCAAACTCATTAGTAAACCCTTTGAGTTTTGTATATGACGCTTTTTTCTTACAGTGTACTTCAGCGTCCAATCAATATCTGTCATAGAAAATTCGTGATTGAGGCCTGTAGTACAACCCATTGATGGCACGTAATTACTTTAGTAGTGAATAGTATTTTGTATAAGTCGCTTGTTTCGAAATAACTCGAGTTTTTGAAATGCAGTACGACGCACTATGTGATGGAGAACATGAAAGCACAGTTGCCATTCAACAAAAGCAATATAAAAGCATCGATCTACGATGAAAATCGACATTAAGCGCTCAAAAATGCCGACATGAGCAGGCAAATATTGAAGTTGAAAAACTACTTACAGAGACTACGCTTTATTTCAGATTGGTATTTGTGTGAAATAATACTACTTAGTATGATGAAGAGGCCCAGATAATATGTTGACTATAGATTGACGTTTTCAAGAATGTTTCATTTCATAGAAAATACGGAGTTGAAAAATCTTTTCTTCTTTCTTAAAATATCGTCATCTGGTTGACAATTAGCCAAGTAGATAGATATATTCATTAATAATCAACGTATAATTCGGCTTCTCTCTTCTTTTTCTTCTGCATCAGCCTACTCATCACACATAGACAAAAATGGTAGCGCTCTGCCTGTTCCCGTTGATCGTGTTTAAATATATAATTACAAATCTATCTTTGACATAATATCAGAGAAGAAAGGTGCTTTTTTCGTAGCAATATGATTTGTGTATAATCCTTTTCGTATTTAACTAATTCTGGAAGATAAATTAAAAGAGCTTGTCAAACATTATTCACTTCAATGCAAGGCAAAGAGAGACTGAGTTATGGTCGTACGGAGAAAAAGAACAGTTAAGCCTGTGAACAGTGGGATGCACAGAACGTGTCATTATCAGTCAGTAACAAGTGTTCGTGTCAAGGAAACGTTCGTTATTGTCGACCTCGAATGAGGATGATTGTCCAAACTTCTAATGTTTATGCGTATGATGTCTCGATAAATGTGTTTTCCATGGTGTTTCATAGATCTTCTTATGAAGATCATTATTCAATTGCCTAAATACATTTGATACTGAATGATGAATAGTTTTTTGTCGATCTAATTCACTTTCATTGGCATTCCGTTTTGATAATTTTTGTTTAGTAGTGAAAAGCGGATTTAATGATGAGTTTGTTTGTGTCAAAGTCGATGATATTCTACCTAAACATACAACTATTTTTAGATATCAAATGGCAAAGATTCAAGTTTATTTGAATTTATCTTGTTCTTATACAAACGACAAAATGTGCCAGGCTTTGTTACGATATAAAACGTTATTTGAAATAACAAAGCCAAATTCTAAAACTGTTCAACTGATTCAACATAAATTACTGGAAGAGTTAAAAAATGGTCTTTCTACACAAGAACAAGTTTTATTTCTGTTAGAGTATGAAGATATAGATTTCGATCTATTCTACTATTTGATATCCTCGAAGTATACGAAAAAGAACACGAAAATAATGACAAATTCGTTTTGTATTCGAAAAGGTTTATTGAGAAAAGCAAATTTTTCCACATTCGTACAACGTCTGGTGGCTAAAGTAAGATTACTAAAGGAGGAACTTTTGTTCACTGTGTAGAGAAACTGTCTGTCATTTTAGAGACCAGAATCACCACTAATCAAGCATTATCCTGAAACGTTTGTTTTAGACCTATCACATCCAGATTATCTTGACGAAGCACTCAATGAAGCATATGAATTACGTGATGTTTTACAACAAAATGCTCTGTTGTTAGAAGATGGTATGTAGTGATAGAAACAGTCAGAAATGGGATGATCGTGTCAATGTGCCCGTAGTTCGATTGTTCATTCTTCCCATTTAGAGAGTGTGACGTCAAAAACAAATGAAGAACCAAAATTGTTGATATTGAAAGCATCGTTAATTGACAAAGGCCAAGAATTATTTATATTTCGAACACAAAATGAATTAGAGGACTTTTTTAATGAAAAAATGAATGACGATGATGAAAATGAAATAACAAATTTACGTGAATGGGTAATTCAGAGATATATTGAAAATCCGTTATTATTATGTGGTGGAAGAAAATTTCATTTGAGGGTCTATATTGTTGTAGATGAAAATTTGAAGGTATACATTTACGATGGTATATTAGCCTTATTTGCATCGAAATCCTATAATTTGACTATGTCAACATTAAGTGATCGTCTGGTGCACATCACAAACACATGCGTCCAGATGTCGGATGACGAGAAGACAATGGATGAACACATGTTAGTCAAAGAATTTTTCAAATTAGATGAAGATCTAAATCATCAAAAAATTTATGAGCAGATCAAACTGATTGTCAAAGAAATATTTGGAGGTCTTCATCATGAAATAAGTCTGTTTCAACCAATTCAAAATTGTTTTGAAATATATGGTTTTGATTTTATAATTGATCGCAACCTAACCGTTTATTTTCTTGAAGCAAACGCTTATCCTGATTTCAAACAGACTGGTGCGGATTTAAGTGTGATAATTGAAGAATTATTTATGAATATCGTGGATAAAATTATATTACCATTCTATGGTGAACAGCAGCAGATAGATGATAGTGCTAAGAGGCAACTGCATTTGATTTATGATAGAAACATGTCTCGTTAGGGGAAATAAATTGATTTGAAACAAGATGTTTATGTTTTAAGGGTGTAAAAATGTAGTCAGCATTATAGTCAACAAATGAGAATAAGTCATGCGACGTGCTGAGGTTATTGAAAATGGTTTTGAGTTTTGGCAATCTTTAGTGATAAATACCTTGTTTTGACCAAAGGAAAAGAAACGCAATCCGCCACTCGAGCCACTCGGCGGAGTGAAGCACACTCCACCACACTCCGGCACTCCGTATAATGGTCCGGAGTGAAGGAGTGTGTGTATAAAGTAGTGATATTTCTCTCAATGAGGATGCTCGATCGATTTAAGAGTCTCCACTCAGAAATGCTGATTTTCAGGGAAAAAATTAGTTTTGAGATACGCACATGGAAAGATAGCCTGAAGTGTCTTCTTCCAGAATGTGTACACTTTTGGTTACAGAAGTAATTTTTCGTGGATTTTGAGCAAGTTTTCTAGAAGCCTTGAAAAACTGGGTCTTCACCTTATAGTTTTTCGTGGATACTTATGCAACTAAAACTTTTCTGAACACGCAGATTTTTAGAGAAAACGTTTCTGATCAAAATAAGGCCTCGCACAACTCTGTATGACCTTGAATTAAAAAGTTACGGGCAAAAAAAGCTATAAGTTCTGAAATTGAGTATTTTATACAGCGTTTTCTCTATATAAAAGTTACACCTGAACTATTTCCCAAGATTTTTAATATAAGTCTGTCGCACAGAGTGCATTGTTTTTGCTTAAAAGAGGAAAAGAAACTACATGGTCTGAAGTGCTAAAGAAACTACGGCACCGATTTCTGAATTAGGTCTTAGTTTTTTATCAAATTAAGGATTTATAAAAAACCCGAAAGGATTTTTCGGGTTTTGGAGGTTGATGGTTGTCTGGAAAACCAATAAAAGCTTAATTGAAAAATCGACGCCGGTCAGTCCATGTAGTTAGGTGCCTAGTTTAAAATAAAACAAACCCGAGCTCTCCAGCTTGAAGTATATTAAAAAATCTTGGTAAAAACGTCAGGGTTCTTTTTGGACCTTGATCTCTGAAAAACTGCTAAACCGTACGACTTGGAGATAAAAATTTTTTCCCATAACTCATTCAACCTAACATTTATGGAAAGTTTGGCCAAAATTGAAGATACGGTGTTGGAGATAATTTCTGCTGGGGTAGGGCCCTTAAAACAATTCAGTCGTGTTTCTCCGTATACCAGTGTACTCATTCTAACTGTGAAGGATATCATATATTTCATAAGCAAGTGTACAAAAAAGCTTTTCATTTTTAATCCCGTTTACTCATTTCAAAATTAGTAATACTAATCATGTTAATCTATTCGATCATAAACGGGTATTTTTATTAGTTAATAATTAATACGCTGTTTGTGTATGAAGAAAGGACGGGAAACGGTTTCTATAAGAAAATGGCCCAATATGATTTTGAGCGAAAATGACGACAAATACGTTTTCACTTCGCAACACTGCCCACGCTCAAAAAATGCTCCTAGTCTCCTTGAAAATAAAGTTTCTTCTCATTTTTCGTCACCACTTGAACAATGCTCACTCACTTTGTTCCTCAAAGTTTCCATATGATTTCAGAATCATTTGACAAGAACTCATACACAAACAGGTAGAGAATTCTCTACGCTACAAAATGAGCTATAAATAAGCTTTCTGAAACTATGTTCATATAGGAATTGTCAAAATACTAGAGAAATATCATAATTTTCATCTGGATTACTAGACAAAATTATAGAAACGATGTGTTTTATGTATTTCTCTTCGACATAAAAGGAAGAAAAAAGTCTGAGAAAAGCTTTAAATAGCCGAAAGATGATGTGGTGTATGTGAATGTTCTATCAAAATTTCTAAAGCTAGGATCTCTGGACAACAAAAATATCAGAAAACTACATCCCGGAATGCGGTCAAGAAATTCCTTGTTAATAATCGAGTCGTGTAAAGCACACATTTCTGAACAAAACGAGACGTTATCACACTCTGTGCGATACTTTTTCACGAAACAGCACTCAATTTACAAAAGGTCGCATACCAGTAAAATTAACGGCAGAACGAGAAAAGACATTCCCTCACGCCTTTTTATAAACTGAATGCTGTTTAATGAAAAAATGTCGCTCAGAGCTCGGTGACGTCTCCTTTTGTAGCGCGAAAACTTCTCTATCTTTCTATATGAAAAGTAATTGGGTTCCGAGCAGATACATATAAGAAAAAATCAAAAATAAATTATTGTAAATGGATGAGTGAAAAACCTTGGTTTTCTGAAATCCCTACTCTCGGCACTTTTAAAATTATTTCGAATTAGCCATCGGACAGAACATCGCTCAAAACCCTTGAGTATTGAAATTAATCAAAATCCGTTCGGCCGTTCATACTGTAAAAAGATTGAAAACTTACTCATGTTACAAAACTTGAGTAAAAAGATAAAGACAACTTTGTTAATTCAGAAGCCTCTGAATTAGCTTTAAGGTGAATAAAATTCCTTAAGTTTCCTTAAGCCCATGGCACTCCGAACCACTCTGAGCACGTCGGTACTCCACGGAGTGCGCTTTTTCTCCTTTGGTTTTGATTCAAGGAAAATTGGATATCCGAGTTCTTAAAGTAAAAATAGTTTACATAAATCAAAACTGCCTGTTAACATTGTATGCTTAGAAGAAGAATTAAATTGGTCTCGGTTTGGTCCTTTTCAATAAGATTGTTGTAGGGTGTGAAGCGACTGAAACTGTTTTGAAAAATGGTGGTTTTTCACAAAACAAGGCAGGATTTGAAGTGTTGCTAGAAAGTCGGACCGTTAAGTCACGTTATAAGGCGTTATGAGGTCGGTTGCAGAATAAAAAGAGGCTACGGTGGGATTTTTCTTACAATTCGCCCAGAGGACTTAAAAAACTAAAAAGTTCTCAGTTTATAAAAAATCATATATCTGATGAGAGTAAACTTCACTTACAATTTTATTCATAATAACGCATTTAAGTGCCAAAAACAAGAGCACTATTTTGAGATGTACAACGGATACTCATGAAACAATCTACGTATAGCCATAAAAATATGGCTTATCAATTCGACAACTCTAGAGAGCTCTTATAATGTAAAGAAAGCATATTTTTTTGTTGATGGCATGCTACTACGTTTTTGCGAAACTTGCAGTTCTTGCTTTCATACCTTTTTTCTTCACAGAACACCTTTTGTTATTGTTACATTTACTCATTTTCGCTCCCTTACTTCTATTTCTTCGCAAATTACTGACGATTTTCTTTATTATATACAATTAATCGACGAGTACATTGTCTGCTCCTTTAATTGCTGATTTCATTGATTAGATTTTGTGAGGAAATTAATAGAATTCTTTTAGTTACAATAATCTCTCTACAAAATTAGAGATAGGTGGATAATTTCTCCTCAAACTCACCTTAAATTTGATAATTTCCGAGAACTCTTACTGAACCTTTATTCTACTAATTGAATAGACGAATATCCTTTAAGTATATGATGTTCATCTTAGGCTATAGTATATGCACATTTCGTGTACTCTAATGAATCAATTCCAACTGCTCCGTTTCCCACACCTTGTTTTTAATCTAAGTGACTCGTTCAGCATATAGAACTGATACTGAGAACGAGAAAATCAGTTATTACCGACAATTATTACGACAAGCTGCTGACATTGCTTGCTTTGTCATTTTGCCGATCAATTTAGAGTTTTACGAAAATGGCATGTAAAATGCATGCGCTAGATTAGTGGATGAATAAATTGACCTATAACGGAAGCAACCGTTCTTTTGGTGCTAATTTATGAGTTCTATTTCTGATTTTTTTGATCGCGTGACTCATTCTATTTTCTAATGATACTTATGTTTTTCATTCATGTTTATTGTATTTGTTGCTTTGTTATATTTTTGTAATATATATATATTTATACATTTTCACGATATATAATTTTTTGAATTCGAAAATATGAGAAGTCTGTACGATGTTTTTGATAACTCCGCACGAAGATGATGATGAAGTGTTGAAGTGCTTTCTTCGAAAAATAACATCATTTGTGTCATCATGATCGCACAAAATACTACCTAAGTGAGAGATGAGTGTTCTTTGAGCCTGTATGTCCTGCACATGTTCTGTCGTTTGTTTCATGAAATATTAGTGAAAATATCAAATATGACTGTTTTTCAAGGACGATTCTGTAACATGTCAAATGCTGGCATGGTATTCGCACCGTTGTGTTGCATATCCGAGTTATTATGTTCAAATTTGCTCACACAACTTTCTCTCTGAAGACGACGTGATGGCAAGCTTTCTGGTTTGCATTTTGATGTAGCATAAACTAATGTACCGTTTGTTTTCAGATATTTTCTATTCAAATTATGTTCGGATAATGCGTTCGTTATAAGAATCTTGTAGTCGTTTTCGACTCTCCGTTGTTGTTGTTGTTGATCGTGTGCTCAATCGTAAACGATTGTCACAGCAATATTTGGTTTTAGCGGAGTCGACAAATAATGACTTGGAGCGTTGCTTGCCGCAAATTGTCGTGTTGGCAACAAGTGATCTACTACGGTTTTTTGATATGTGGTGATATTGAATATGGTCAGAAGTAGTCTGATCTGCGCAAAGAAAAGAAAAGTATTCTACTAAGTAGACAATTGAATAGCGATATAGAAAGATGTTGGTAGATGTCTTCATGTGAGAACAAAAATTAGCAAAAGACTGTAGCTTTATGTGACCGGTGCGTTCAATGTGATGATCAGAATAACAGTAGTACAGTACTGAAGTGTGAGTCATTCAGCTGAGAAAATTACTTAGTTTGAGTTGTTGATTTCGACAGTGATGACATTCGCTATGTCTCTTTGTAGGCATTCCCTAGAAAGAGGAAAGATATTTAGTTGAACGAAGTAGCTGACATGCTTCCATTTTTATTTCGTTTGGCGTTATAAGACTTTTTTCTTTTAAATACGAAGATTAGAAGTGACATAAGTTAGTTTTATACTCTTCTCTGTAACT